GGCGCACCCTGCCCTCTGCCCTCTGCCCCCTGGTGGGCCTGCCCCCAGGGAGGGCCGGCAAGGGCCGAGGCCAGGTGGGCTGGCCTGCGGGCCCTGGGCCTCGCCAGCTCCCGGCCTGGCTGGGCTGCTGCCCCACTGGGCGGGGATCCTGCCTCCGCCCTGCCAGCTGTGTGCCTTCGAGGAAAAACCGGTGACTTCCACGGCGAGACCGCAGAGGGGTCAGGGTGCTGGGCCGGGCCGGCGGCAGGGTGCTGGTCAGGTCCCTCGTGGCGCTCCCAGCCCGGCGGCCTGGGGCACGTCGGGGTGGCCTGCGTGGCACTGAGCCTGCCGCTGTGCGCAGGTGCGCACACGCACCGGCCTGGTCCGGGCAGTCGGCGGGGGGTGGACAGGAGGCGTGGCAGGAACTGGCAGGAGGCCTACAAGTCTCTCTCGCTCTCCGTCTGTGGGGTGGCGCTGAGCTCCCGCTGCAAAGCTTTTAGGCAGATTTGGTGGTCCCGCCACAGCCCTCATGGGGCGGGCTTGGGGCCCAGGCCCCTTGCAGCCAGAGTGCCAGCAAGGCTGGGGCCCAGCCAAGAATCCCCCCACCCCTCACCCCTCGGGGCTGCCCAGGCTGAGAGGACCTGTGGGGGGCTGGGGCCTGTCTGGTTGCCTGACCCGCCTCCCGCCTGGGCCTGGGCCTGGGCCTGAACTGGGGTGGAGCGAGGCCTCCGACCTCCAGCTCTGGCTCTTCCGTGTTTCCCAAGTGGGTGGGCTTCGGGGCCTCAGGGCGCCAGAGGGGGTTGCATGGGTGCAGGCCAGGGCGTTCTTCTGGGCATGCCTCACGGCAGGGGCTGCGGGGCCCTGGAGGAGGACGGGGGTCCAGGAGGGCGGGGGGGCCCCCCGAGCCCTCACCCCTCGGCCCTCACTGAGCCCAGCACACTCTTACCGCTTCAGGCGATTGTTCGCCAGGGCTGGCGGTCGGGGCGTGGGCCCGAGCACCTCGCCACACCCCACCACGGGCTGACATCCCTTCCGTCACAGACGGAAAATTCCGTTTGGTCCGAGCCCAGATGCTGATCAGACAGTTCCCATTCTCTTTCTGAATGGGCCCGGGCAGCAGCTGGCGACGCCAGCCCGGGGAAAGGAGGGGGGCGGGCCCCGTGGGAATGCCGGCGGAAGCCGGGCCCCTGGGAGCCTGTCCTCAGGAAACTGGGCCAGAGGTCGGGTGTGGCACCGGGCTCGGGGGCTGGAGGAAGCAGCCGCCCAGCCCGATGCTGCTTCCCTGGGCCGGCGCCCCCCAGCCGGGCCGCCCCGTGTGACCGGGAGGGCGCTGTCACCCCCCTGGGAGGGGCCCTGCGGGGCTGCTCACCCGGTGGGGTTGCCGTTCAACGTTCCTGGGAAGGAGCCGTCCTGGCCCTGACAGAGAGGAAGCCCCCCCAGCCTCTCGGAGCTTGGGGTGGGGGTCAGGGGCCCCCGTGTTTCTGAGCGCCCACTCTGCGCCAGGCCTCGGCCACAGGGCACGGTCCCTGCCAATGGATGTGCCTGTTGAGGCCTTTCCAGCGCCCCCTGGGGGACGTGCAGGCAGGCAGACGGGTGCTGGAGGTGGGCTCCCTGTCCTCACAGCGGAGGAGGGCTGCTCCCCGGATGCAGGGCTGCAGAGGCAACTCGGGGCGCCGGGGCCCCCACCTGCTGCTGCCTCCCGGGCTTGAGGCGCTTGTGCCCTTGGTGCCCTGCTGTGATCCCGGGTCCCATTGTCACTCCCAAGGGCCTGGGCCTGGGGGCACCGGCCCCACCCTGACTCGGGTCCCTGAGGCGGGGCTGCCTGGGAGTGTCCTGTGTGTGAGGCTGCCCCCAGCCGGCCGGCCGGCCACTTGTGCCCTGTCCAGTCTCTGGCGAGTGTCTGGTGCCCAGGGGCTTGGCCCCCCTCCACCCACCACCTACCACCCCTGGGAGTTGGTGGCCACTGCTGGGGAGCGCATGGGGCAGCCCCTTCGTGTGCATGTGTGAACGTGGGTATGTGTGGGTGTGAACCTGTGTGTGAATGTACGGCTGTAGGTGTGCCTGTGTGCACATGTGGGCGTGTGTGTGAATGTGTGAGCAGGCATGGATGAACACGTGGGTGTGCACACGCCCACCTTGCCCGGGAGCGGCCCTGGGCTCCCTCCCCTCCGGCAGCAGGGCACCCACCTGCCGCCTGCCCCCTCCCCAAGGGCCCTGACCCCTCCCAGAGGCTCCCTGCGGGGGAGCTGCTCCAAGCTTCTGCACACGGCCGCTCCTCTAATCTCCGTGACCGTCCAGGAGAGCGACGTGCCTGCCTCCGTTTCACACGTGGGGAAACCGAGGCACGGAGTTCAGAGTCGCTGGCTCAAGGCCCCGTGGAGAACCAGGTGGAGCAGCAGCTGCATGGCAGCACTCCCTGGGACTCCCTGGGGGCCAGGCGCCCCTTGGGGGCCTGGGTTCAGGGGGTGGGCTGGGGTGGGAGCCTGGCAGGAGGCCCTCCCCCGGGCCTCTGTCCAGCAGCGGGCAGGGCAGTTGTCGGCCTCCTGGTGGGGACACCCAGGCGGTCTCTCCCCTTGGTCTGGGCACCCGGGCACGGGCTTTGGCAGGGGCCTTGCAAACCGAGAGGGGCCCCGACTGGGCCTCGTGGCTGCCAGGGCCCTTCCCCCGTGTGAGGGCCCAGGGCCGGGGGGCTGGGGCGGGAAGCGCCCACCCCGTCCTGCACAGCCAGCAGAGCCGACGGGAGGCCGCATGGGATCACACGCGGCTGAGCTGGGCTCGGGCCAGCGGCTGCCCACGCCCCGCCGGGGAGAGCTGCTCCCAGGTTCTGGTTTTGTGTTTTAATTATAAAGGCCGTACATGTTCGTGGCTTTAAAAAAAAGCAAACAGAAAAACAAACCAACAAAAAGAACCCAACAACAAAAAAGGAGCCCAATCAAAGCTGTAGAAGAAGATCCAGGAACGCCACCCACCCGCCCACCTCCGGCCAGGCCCCGGCGCCTCCCAGCTTGCCTCGCCCCAGGCACCTAGGGCTCAGGAGCCTGCGACGCTTATCTTGCCTCGGCGTTCTCGTCTGGTCAACGGGAGTGGGTGGTCCTGGCGCCGCTGAGGCGCCTGATCCAGGTGGGCGAGCTCCGGCGTCCTGGCCGCAGGTCGGCGGGGACTGCTCACCGCCGGGTGGAGCTCCAAGCCCTGCACCCCGACCTCGCCCCCTCTCCTAGGGGGGCCCTGGGAACCAGGAGCCTGGGCGGGTAGGGCTTTGAGGGGGGCTCAGTGGGGTGCAGGTCTCTAGGGAGGAGTGTGGGGGGCCTGACGGAGGGTCCGGGGAGGAGCCGCAGCGGCAGGGCCTGGCGACTGGCTGGGGGCTGGCGGGTGGCTTTGGTTCCGGAAGTGCAGGCGTCCCCTGGAGCCAAGCCCCGGGTGGTGGGCTGAGCTGCCCTTTGCCCCTGACCTGTGGGGACCGGTCGGACAGGCCCTGCGGCACCCCTGGTCGGGGTCCAGCCTGTGCGCATGCACGCAGACCCAGGGAGCCCACAAGAGGGCGCTCGTCCAAGCACCCTAATGTTTATCGATTCTCCGAGTTGGGTGGTGTTGGGTAGGTTAGAACTGGTGCCAGGGGCCGAGCCCTTTAAGGTAAATGTGCCCCCCACCATGACTGGGTCCTGGCCCGTGTCCCCGTGACCTTGAGTGCCCCGGGACCTCGAGGGAGCCTTGGCGGAGAGGTGGCTCTGGTGCCAGCCCCACGAGGCCTGCTCCCCGCCCCCACCGCCGGTGAGCAGGGCGGTCAAGCTTTCCCACCACTGCAAACCGGGCCCGGACTGCTCGGTGGGCGGCAGCGCGGGGCAGCCAGTGGGAAGGACAGGAGCAGCCTGTGACTGCAGCCTCCCGGTGGTGCCCTGGCCTTCCCCTGGAGAGTGCCTTCCTCCCACACTGCCTGGCAACCGTCTCCAGGGAGACGGATGCAGTCCCAGTGCCTCTGGCCAAGCCTCTGGCCCCAGGGAGCCCCGGTGTTCCACCCCCAACAGCTCCCCGCTCCGGCCCACGGAAGCGCCGGTTGCTGAGGCTCAGGCGTGGGGAGGGAGGGTGTTCCCAGGTCCTCCTGGGGTCTGGGCCGGGGGGGGCTGGTGAGGGCCGCTGAGAGGTGCCGGTGGCCCCACCACAACTGCGATGGGTCCCTGGGGTGGGCACCTCCACGTGTCAGCCTTCGGTGGGTGCTTCCTTGCATGCCCCCGAGAGGTGCACCTGGTCCTCTGTCTCCCACCCTGAGGCCCGTGCTGAGGGTCCCCGAGGGCCGGTGGCGTGGGCGGTGCCCCCTTCCTCCACGCTTCCTCCGGAGCCAGTTTATCCTTGAAACGGGGTGACACAAACTGACCCCGGGGTGGGGCCCAGATGGGGCGGGGCTGGTGCCCTGTCTCGCCACCGGAGGCCCGGTGCTGGGTCTGCCCCCACCCCTGTGAGGGCCCATGGGGGAGCCCAGCCTCTGGGACCCTGGGAGTGGTGGAGAGTTCTGGGCCCTTCGCGACGCAGGGGCTCAGGGTCCTGGGAAGGTGGCCAGGCCCAGCACAGCCTGAGCGCAATGGTGAGGGGGGGCTCCATGCCAACGGCCCCGGCGGGGCCTTCCCTGGGATGGAGCCCCCCTCCGCTCAGAGGCTGTCCTCCGGCCGGCCCCCCCAAGCATCTCCTCCAAGGGGAACCCTGCTCAAACACACTCTACCTTGGGCTCTGGAGCCCAGGAGGTGACAGCTCCCATGGCGAGGGGCACGGGGCGGGGTAGGAGAAGCGGACCCGTGGCCTCCCCCCTCTGGCTCCACCCAGGGGAGCTTGGACTGGGTCCTGGTGTGTCGTGCAGGCTTGAGGACCAGACTGGGTGACCACGGGCGCCGCACACGGGTGTTGGGGAGCCGCAGCCCCAGACGAGGGCAGGGCTGGCTCCTCGGGAGCGAGTGCCGGGTGCCCTGTCCTGGAGCTCGGGTGGGACGTGCAGGTCCGGGACCCCACCTCCAGCGCCGCTGCCCCGCCCGCAGGCGCTGCTGCTGCTGGGTGCCACCGCGCTGGCCTGCCTGGCCCTAGACCTCCTCTTCCTGCTCTTCTACTCCTTCTGGCTGTGCTGCCGCCGGCGCAAGAGCGAGGAGCATCTGGACGCCGACTGCTGCTGCACCGCCTGGTGCGTCATCATCGCCACGCTGGTGTGCAGGTGAGCGGGGAGGGGCGGGGCCTGGCTGGGGGCGGGGCCTGGCCTGACGGCGGGATGTAGGGGGGGCCCCTGTGGGATGCCGGCGCCCTCACGCAGCCTCGCCCCGTCTTAGCGCCGGCATCGCCGTGGGGTTCTATGGCAACGGGGAGACCAGCGACGGCGTCCATCGGGCCACCTACTCGCTCCGCCACGCCAACCGCACAGTGGCAGGGGTCCAGGACCGCGTGAGTGGCTGCCCAGATGGCAGGGGGCCCCCCCTCCCGCCGCTCAACCCCGCGCCTGCGCGAGTGCCTGAGCTTGCGGGAGGAGCCTGGGTGGAACGACCGAGGGGTGGGCGTGTGTGGGATGCTGGTGCGCTGGCTCACCCGCCGGCCTGGCGCAGGTGTGGGACACGGCCGCCGCCCTGAACCGCTCCGCCGAGCCCAGCCTTCAGAGCCTGGAGCGGCAGCTCGCCGCGCGGCCCGAGCCCCTGCGGGCGGTGCAGCGGCTGCAGGGCCTGCTGGACACGCTGCTGGGCTACACAGCCGCCATCCCGTTCTGGAGGAACCCGGACGTGTCCCTGGAGACGCTGGCCGAGCAGGTGGACCTCTATGACTGGTACAGGTGCGGTGCGCTCCTCACAGTCCGCCACTCCCGGCCCCGCTGCCCCGGGGTTGGGCTTTTCTTCCAATGGCCAGCTGGCTGCCAGCGCCACTCCAGCAGCCACTAGAAGGACTGATTCCGGCCCCAACAGCCCAGAACCGCCCATGAGTGCCCCTCTGGGTCCCCAGCTGCTTGCCTCAACTCTGCCGGCCCGAGTGCAGATACCTGCCCCACCCCAGCACCCGCACCCTCCCCCCGCCACCTGGGGCCCACACCCCCTGTGCCCACAGGTGGCTGGGCTACCTGGGCCTGCTTCTGCTGGACGTCGCCATCTGCCTGCTGGTGCTGGTCGGCCTCATCCGCAGCTCCAAGGGCATCCTGGTTGGGTGAGTCTGTGTCCTGGCCTCCCCTCCCCCACTGGTGGGTCAAGCTCGGGGTTTGCCCCTGGGGAGGAGGGTGCAGAGCCACACCTGTGTGCTGGGAGCTGGCCCTCTGGCCTGCAGCCTGCTGGGCAGCACCGCTGTCTGCCCTCCACACCGTATCTGGGGGTGCTGACCAGCTCTCGTCGTCCCCAGGGTCTGCCTGCTGGGGGTCCTGGCCCTGGTCATCAGCTGGGGCGCACTGGGTGTGGAGCTGGCTGCGTCTGTGGTGAGTGGCAGTCGGGGGGTGTCCTCGTCTGCAGGGCCCGTCGTGGGGCGGGGAGGGAGCCTCAGTCCTCGCCCCTCCCGACTCCCATGGGACGCTGAGGGCCCGAGGGGCGGGCCCTGCCCGGGGGTGCACAGCACGTCCCTGCCGCCCCTCCTCCCACCCTTCAAAGCGAACCTTCCGGGGTGAGAGCAGACCCTGGGGGCTCAGGCCCCACCCCGGAGCGCGGAGGGTGGGAGGGCCCCGCCGGGTCGCCCCGTCTTCCTCGCCCGCATCCGTTCCAGGGGTCCAGCGACTTCTGCGTGGACCCCGACACCTACGTGACCAGGATGGTGGAGGAGCACTCGGTGCTGAGTGGGGGTGAGTGTGCGTGCCGGGGGCTGGGCTGGGAAGGCCCCGCCGAGTGAGGCCGAGGCACGTGGTCGGGGCACAGGGTCGTCAGGGTCAGGGGGAGGCCGCTGACGATGGGAGGGGGCAGGGACACGGGGGGCAAGGAGGGTGCGAGTGATGGGGAGAGGTGACGGCGGGCAGCTGCTGCCAAGCGGGGCACCGAGTGGGAGTCGAGACGGCCGTGCCCCGTGGGCAGAGGCCCCGAGGCAGAGACACTCGGGGGTGCTGGTGAGGCGGAAAACACCCGTGGCGAGAGGAGAGGGCGGGAGGCACCGGGGCCAGGTGTGTGCTCAGGACTTTGGACTTCACGCCAGGGCCCCATCGGGGGAGACGTGCGGGGGGGTGAGTGGCTTCCTCAAGCCCCCTTGGGCTGCCGGAGCAGCAGGGGGCGAGGGAGGGAGCCGGCGGGAGGCGCGGCAGCTGGAGCCCGCAGGCTAGAGGGGCGGCTGCTGGTCCAGAGGGAGAGCAGTGCCGCCGGGACTCCCCAGAAGTTTGGGGGTGGGGGAGGGGCGGGAGGGCTCCAGGGCTGCGGGCTGAGGGGGGGACAGAGCAGGAGGGTGCTGACCGGCCCTCAAGGGACTGTCTTCCCCTTTGCCCAAGAAAGTCCCAGGGGCGAGCGTGGGGGGCTGGATTTGGCCTATTTTGTTAAGGAGTCATTTCCACCTAAGCCCGAGGAGCCCCACCGTGGGGGCAGGGGAGCCTGCTTTGCCAGGGGCCGGCCAGGCTGGTGACAGTTGTCCCCGCCATTGTCCCAGGCCTTGGTGCCCTCAGCCCTGCCTCCCCAGGCCCTCACACTCGTGGTCCCGCACGAGGCCCGCACGCCAGCCCCGTGTACGGCGGCTGACGTGAAGTAGGGACTTCTCGGTGTTTCCACACGCGCTCAGAGGGGCCCCAGACCTGAGGGGCTGGGCGGGGGTGCGGCCAGCCCTGCCCCCCCTCCAGCCCCCGCCCCCATGCCCATCCCGCTCTGGGCCCCCGGGAGCCCCCGGCAAGGGAGCCGTGTGGAGCTGCAAAGCCAGTGTCCTGTTTGTGGGGCGGCGGGAGCTCCCACCTCCCGGGGGCGCCCAGGGGCCAGAGAGCAAGGAGGGGCCGGGGGCAGGCGGTCGGGGTCTCCTGGGGTTTCCAGAGTCAGAACTGTGAGTGAGTCCCCATCTTTAGATGCCGGAGGCTGAACTGACTCTGTTTCAGGGGGTGGGGACAGACAGGACAGCTGTCCTGCCCAGGTGGCCCATGGGTGGGTGCATCCCGGGGGTCTTCTGAGCCTGCAACCACCCCTTCCCCCCCAGCACCCCGTCTGCTGCCGCCAAGGGAGGGCAGGTATGAGGCTGCCCTCCGAGAGTCGTGCCCCTGGCGGGGACGCCCAGTAGGGGGGCCTGGGCCCGGCCCGGCCCCCTGGGGGCCGCGTTCCCCCCACACGTGACCATAGACACGCACATGTGCACACCGGCAGGCACACGGACACACCCACACACCTGTGTGCACATGTGCATGCAGATGCATGTGCGCCCACACATATAACACGTGTGCACAGGCGAGCACACCGACGCCCGCATGCATGTGGTGTCGGTGCACATGGACACACCGGCGTGTCTGCACACACGTGTGCACCTGTGGGAGCACACGTGGCCTCGCCCACTCAGCCGCCACCGTCTCCCCGCAGACATCCTGCAGTACTACCTGGCCTGCTCGCCCCGCGCCGCCAACCCCTTCCAGCAGGTGAGAGCGCGGGCCGCCCCGGCCCCTCACCTGGGGTGTCTGCAGCCCCCCGGGCCCACCACAGTGTGGTGGGGAGACAGCTGGGCAAACCACACTGACGTCACAGACTGCCACCCGGGTTGCCGCCCCAGGGCCCCTGTGCCCCCCAAATCCCTGGGGCCCCTCTCATGTCCTGGGCTGCCCCCGGCCAGCCCTGCAGGGCCGAGCCCACGGGTGGGCGTGGAGGTCCCGTGGGGGCTCCAGAATGAGTGGGCGGGCGTGGCCACGGTGGGTTGGGAGGGAGACCCTCAGCCGGCTGCCCGTCACTCCCCATGGCTGCCTGACCCTCAGGGTCCTGAGGGCCACCTGTCTGCTTGAAAGACCCTGCACCTCCGACGGTCTGCACCCTCTGGGTGTGTGGCACCTGGGGGCCAGGGAGGGTGTCCCGCAGGCCCCCCCGACGCCCTGTGTGAGCCAGGGCCTGGCGGGGGTGGGGGGTAGTGGGCTGCCGGCCTCACCTCCCTCAGCCGGCCTGTCTGTGGAGCAGAAGCTGTCGGGCAGCCACAAGGCGCTGGTGGAGATGCAGGACATCGTGGCCGAGCTGCTGAAGACCGCGCCCCGGGAGGCCCCGGCCACCAAGGTGAGGGGCGGGCGTGGGGTCGCCGGGCGGCGCCACCGCGCAGGGGTGTCCTGCCCACCCTTCCACGCAGAGGCTCCTCGTCCCTCTCCTCCCTCCTTCCCTCCCTGTCCCCGGGGACTTTCGGTGGCTTCTCAAAAGAATTCTGTTCTTCATTTTACTTTTTTAAAGACTTTATTTATTTATTTTTGGAGAAGGGAGAGGGGAGGAAGAGAGGGAGGGAAACATCAATGTGTGGTTGCCTCTCGCACACCCCTACTGGGGACCTGGCCCACAACCCAGGCGGGTGCCCTGACTGGGAATTGAACCTAGGACCCTTTGGTTCGCAGGCTGGCACTCAGTCCACTGAGCCACAGCAGCCAGGGCTCTGCCCTGCGTTTTAAAAATCGCTCAGACTCCTCCTATTGAGAGAGTAGGGAAGCTGAGAGCAGGTGCAAGGACCAAGTGACGACCTGCCGGCTGTGCTTCCTGCACAGGTGCGCCCCCTGGGGGCGTCCTGGGGATGTGAGGCAGGGACTGTGCAAGCCCTGACGCTGGGCAGTGCCCCCCTCCCTCCCTCCCTCTCTCTCTCTCTCTCTCTCTCTCTCTCTCTCTCTCTCGCACGTGCACACACGATACTGCCACCGCCACCACCGTCAGGCCCCCAGAGGCGCACACACTGCCCCACACTCTAGGTTAATTCTAGGTTAATGTTACTCCCTTTTCTTTTTTTTTAATATAGTGTTTTATTTTATTTTTTAAGATTTTATGTATTTATTTTTAGAGAGGAAAGGGAGGGAGAAAGAGAGAGACAGAGAAACATCAATGTGTGGTTGCTGGGGGCCGTGGCCTGCAACCCAGGCATGTGCCCTGACTGGGAATCGAACCTGCGATGTTTTGGTTCGCAGCCCGTGCTCGATCCACTGAGCTACGCCAGCCAGGGCAACCTTTTATTTCTCCTGCCAGGACACCCTTGGTGCTCTGCAGCCCGAGCGGTTAGGCAGGTGTGTTGGCTGCTTGGGTACCGTCAGAGAGCGCCACACGGGCGGCTTAGGCCTCTGTCTCCCAGGCTCGGTGGCTGGAAGGCGGAGAGTTCCTCCCTCCCTCCCTGCCTCTCTCTTAAAAAAAAAAGGAATGAAAGAAATGTCTCCGGGCGAGGATTTAAAAAAAGACCCAGGCCCATGTCAGGAGACACCAGGGTGCACCTGTCCCTTCCGTGACAATGAGGGGCCACACAGTGGTGTCTGTACTGGACAGGCATTGTGGGTCCTGCTGTCCCTCTCTCCCCTCGTGTCCTCAGTGGTCTCCCTGAGGCCAGGCCAGACTCTGGGGGTGCCGTTCGTGAGAGCTGGGGCTCCTCAAGGCCTGAGTGGAGATCGCGGGGTGCGGGGCGGTCTGGATGTCAGGGGGAAGGGGGGCGGAGACCTGGGAGAGTCTCAGGCGCCCGGGGCTGGCTGGGGCTCCCCGCTCCAACGCGGTGCCGACCGGCCGTGGTGTGTGTCCCCAGGACCCTCTGCTCCGCGTCCAGGAGGTGCTGAACGGCACGGAGGTGAACCTGCAGCAGCTCACAGCCCTGGTGGACTGCCGCAGCCTGCACCTGGTGGGTGAGACCGGCTCCCGGGGCCGGGGCTGCGGCGGGGAGAGGGCCGTGGTGGGGGCGGGGGACGGCCCAGGCTTCTGCGGGCTGGGCCGCAGCCCCAGCTCGTCCACCTCACCCGGCCGTCCTGCCGTCCCCGTCCCCGCTGGGCCCAGGACTACGTGCAGGCGCTGACCGGCTTCTGCTACGACGGCGTCGAGGGCCTCATCTACCTGGCGCTGTTCTCCTTCGTCACCGCGCTCATGTTCAGCTCCGTCGTCTGCAGCGTGCCGCACACCTGGCAGCAGAAGAGGTGAGGGGCTCGGGGACGCCCTCAGTTTCCCTGGCCACGGCCCACCCACGGGGCGTTCTTAGGGGCCTGCCTTCCGGACGCCCCCGCCCTGGTCCCCAGAGGCAGGCACTGGGGCCTCCTGGTGCGCCATCAACCCCTGCGGTCTCCGTGAGGCGGGGGCCCTGGAGGAGCCCCGTGTCACAGGCGGGACACTGAGCCCGAGGAGCTCCGGGCATGGGGGGCGCCGTGAGGCCGGAGCAGGCGGCGAGGAGCGGCCCCTCTTGTGGGGCCGGCTGCCCGCCCACACCCGCCGCGCCCCCGGCTGGCCTCGGAGCGCCCCGTCCGCCCCCAACCCGGGTGCGCTGTGCAGGGCTGCGGTGGGGCGAACGGTGGGCTGGTTGGGGAGGCCCTGGGCGGCTGTGGCTTCCGTGGCCGGCCGACCTGAGTGACAGCTCCCTCCCAGGGGGCCGCTAGGTCCTTATCTTTGAGGCGGGGGTCCTGGCAGCCCCAGCCTCGTCTCCCCAGTCAGCACTGGGGGGTGGTGTGTCAGGGCGCCAAGCCCCTCCCCTTCTCGGGCCCCGTGGTTTCTCTCCCACAGCCACCTCCTGCCCCTCCTCCCCCTTGGGCTTTCTCGGGGGCCCCGCTCTGGGGGCAGATAACTCAGCCCCAGTCCCTTCCCTCCGCCTGCATTTCTGCTCCCTGGTTCTCTGTGGTGACGGGGGCGGTGACGACGACGAGGGCGGTGGTGACGGTGGTGGTGGTGGCGACGGTGAGTTCGGGGCCTGACCCCTGTGCCGGGTGTCCCTCCCCACAGGGGCCCGGACGAGGACGGGGAGGAGGAGGCCGGCCCGGGGCCGCGGCAGGCGCATGACAGCCTCTACCGCGTCCACATGCCCAGCCTGTACAGCTGCGGCAGCAGCTACGGCAGCGAGGCCAGCATCCCGGCCGCGGCCCACACCGTCAGCAACGCCCCGGTCACCGAGTACATGTGAGTTGCGGGGGGGGGGAGGGGGGCAGCCCAGGGGCAGGGGCAGGCGGCGCCGAGCCAAGCTGGCGGCAGGAGCTCCGCGCGGCCACAGGCACACCTGCCCGGGCGGGGTGAGAGGGCGGGCCTAGCCCGGGCGGGTGAGCCGGACAGGGTGCTGGAGGAGCCGGCAGAGCCAGGGGCAGGGGCTGCTGGGCAGAGGGGCCCGTCCCACAGTGGGGCCACATTAGGGCTGGACTTTCCTCCACCCAAGGGGGCTGCTGGGGCGTGGGGTGGGGTCGGCCTTCTGTACGCAGGCAGACGTGGGTGGAGGCCACGGGGAGGCCACGGGGTCAGACGCAGGGCCTGTGTCCAGGTGGCCGCGGGGATGCTGTGGCCCAAGGCCCGGGCTGGGCATGAGGTGGACAGGCGGACACCCTTGGGCCCACCCACTCTGAGCCCTGGGTTACTGTGCCGGGCGCTTGCCAGGAAGTAGCACCCAGGGACGGTGAGAAAACCCAGGGTGCACTCCCCCTGCCGCAGCCGTGGTTGGAGGCACCGGGCAGAGCGGTGGGGGGGGCACACAGCTCGCCCAGCTCCAGAGCTGGGACCTCCGAGGCCCACGCCCACTCGCGGCCCCTCTCTCCTCAGGAGCCAGAATGCCAATTTCCAGAACCCCCGCTGTGAGAACACCCCCCTCATCGGGCGCGAGTCCCCACCACCCTCAGTAAGTCGGGGCCGGAGGGCGGGCGGGGCGCCACCCGGCCGCCTGGGTGGTCTGCCGTGGTCCTCTGTGAACCTGCAGCCGGGCCAGTGGGGCTGGGTGGGCTTGCACGCTGGCCTTGAGGTGCTCTGGGGTCCGAGTGGGCAGCAGAGGCCAGCGGCCTGGCCACCAGCTCAGCGCAGAGGGGCCCTGGCTGCTGCTTCCCAGCCCACCTGTTTCCTCCTCTTTTCCTTTCTCTGGCGTCCGGAGCTGAGCCCAGGCCTTGGCCCCTGGCCGCTCCAGACCAGCCTGGCGTCCCCTCGGCCCTCGGGGCTGAAGCACGGGAAGGGGGGGACAGGGCGTTTTTGTGCCAAAGAGGAGGAGCGTGCAGAGGGGCAGGCCCCCAGCGGGCCTCCTAGAGGCAGTGGGCCGCAAAGGACAGGCTGGCCAGAGGGGCCGACGGTCACCTTGCTTCAGGACAACCGCCCTGCTGTGCAGTGGCCCCGCTGTGCCCTGCAGCAGAGCCGGCCTGGGCCTCCTGGACCCGGGGTGCCACGGGCTCCCCGGCTGTCGCCCCGCCGGCACCGTGCTCCCGCCCCCACGGCCGCCCCCGGCTGGGCCCTCACCCTGGCGTTGAGGCCACTCTCTCTCTCTCTCTCTCCTGCACCCCTCCCACCCTGGGCCCTCCTAGCGGTATCTGGCTGCCCTGGACTCTGGCAGCCACACGGGCTGGCAGTTTAAGCCCCTGGACAGTGCCCGAGCGCGGTGGTGGCCGTGCCCTCAGAGTGACAGGTACTGACCCGCCTGGCCCCTGCCCTGTGCAGCGCCTGCCTGCCTCGCCTCCGCGCCTCACGCCCTCCGCTCGCTGCTGCCCGCGGCGGGGCCGGCCAGGGCCCGACCCAGGTGCCCCGGGGCCGCCCCGGTCGGTGCTGTGGGGCCGGCACAGGCCCCTGCGCTTCGTGGCTTCCAGCACAGCCACAGAGACCTCCGGGGCCGGCCCTGGGCCGTCACCCCCACACCGGGGGCAGTGAGGCCCGCCCCCCGGCCCAGCTGCCCTGGGCACCGCCCGGCCAGGAGACCGTCCACCTGGGCCCCCGGGCGAGCCTGGCCCTCGCGGCACGGCCCTGCATGTCCGGAAGTGCACACAGGGGGGCGCCGACGAGCGTCGGGCTGCGCCCGGCCGTCCCCATAGTGCTGCGCGCCTGCATGGGCTCCCTCGGCGGTCTGGGCCGCAGCCCGCCGCCCCCGCCCCCGCCGCATGTCCACGGAATGCCACGGCCCCCATGCCCGCTGCTGCTCCTCTGTGTCCCTCCTGGCCCCCGACGGGCAGGACAGACCCTCCCCACCAGGAGTTCCGGGAGGGCTCTCCAGACCAGGGGACACGGTCCCCCGACCTAGGGACCGTAGGGTGGGCTAGCATGTGGCTGGGGGGCCGGCCTGCCAGGCTCCTTGACCCCTGATGACCTCTGTCACAGGTCTCGGCCCTTGTCCCCACCCCTATGGGCGTGGGACCCTTTACACATGGATGGTAGCACGCGCCTGCTCCACAAGTGTTCACGGGCACACACATGCACTCACACGTGCACTCATGCACACATGTGCACAGGCCCCGCACACGCACGTGCACTGAGCAAAGCCCTCGTGCCTCGGGTTGGACGAGGGCCGTGAGATGTGCGGTCCTCCCCCCCCCCCGCCCCCCGCGCCTGCCCCTGCGTCTGGGACCTGGGAGGAGCCCGCGGCTGGCCCCCCAGCTAAGTGCATCGCCTCGGCCCGAGGGGCCCACGCAGCTGCGGGGCCACCCTCTCCCGGGGTGATAGGGCGGCGTGGCTCACGGCCCCGCTGCTCCGGGTCCTCGTGGACCGCCGGACTCTTCCTGGAGCTCGCCCCGCCCCCCCCCTTGCGCGGCGCTCCGCTCGCAGCCCTTTAGCCGGCACCCTGAGGCGGGAGGAGGGCCTGTGGGGGGCCTTCAGGTCGTGGGCCTGCGGGGAGCCTTCGAACTTGGGCCCTTCGGGGCGGGCAGAGTGCCCCTCGCACCGGGATGGGGCCCTCAGGGCTTCCGGCCTCTGCACCAGGCCAGCTGCCCGCCCCCCCACCCCAAGCCCTCCCCCTGGGCTGCCAGCCATCAGCCCTGCCCCCAGGGGTGCTTGCAGCGGGCCGGCTGAGGCTGTGCCCACGCCCTGCTCACCGAAGCCCCCCTTCTCCCCGCAGTACACGTCCAGCATGAGAGCCAAATACCTCGCCACGAGCCAGCCTCGCCCCGACTCCAGCGGCAGCGGCCACTAGACCGCCAGGCTGGCCACCGCCCCACGTGCCAATCACCCCGTCGCCCCCAGGCCAGCACTGCTGCTCCCGCCTCCCTCGGGGCTGCCCGCCAGGCCCGCCCTCCCCTCCCTGCAGGAGCCTGGAGTTCCCGGCGGGGACCCCGGCGACTCGCCCGGACACCTAGCCCCACGCCCTCCGCCCTCCCAGGGTTCAGGTTCACAGAGCCCTGCTCCGGGCCACACGGCCGGCGCTGCGCCCCGGGGACCCTGGAACTCTGCAGCTTCCGCCTCGCGGCACCCTCCTTCCCTCCGCAGCCCTGACAGACGCCCTGGGCCACGGCGTGCCCTGGTGCCGGCGCCTCCTCGCTCCGCTCCGCAGTGCGTCCCCCCTTCTCTCCCCTCAAGGGGCCGCCTTTGCTGCCTCCGCCCTGCATCGCTCTCTCCCTCAGCCGCGCCGGACCCTCCACGCCGCAGGAGGGCGCCAGGCGTCACGCCCAGCCCGGGCCGCTCACCCAGTGCTGGCCGCCCTCTTGGTGCCAAACCCCTCCCTCTCCCCCCAGACTTGGCAGCTGGTTCCAGTTCCCTCTTGCACTAACCACACTCATCATCTCTAGGGCAGGCGGGCCACGGGGCTGCCGGCGAGCACGCTCCCCCTGCCCCCTTCCGCCCAGGACAGGTGCGGTGTCCCGGAGCCTCCTGTGAATGAGCCCAGCCCCTGCCGCCCCCGGGACTAACCACTAACCTCACCCCGGCCACCCACCGGGATCCCCCGGCCAGGCTGGCGCGTGGGACCCCGAGTCCAGGACAGCTGGCCGGGAGTCCGGCCGGAGCCTCCGGTTCTTCTCGGGTGCTGCTGCCGGGGACGTGGGGGTGGGGGGCGCATGGGCACCTGCCCGAGGCCCCGAGAGCCCCCCCAGGCCGGTGTTGCCCCCGGGCGGACTGAGGGCTGCAGGACCGTGGTCCCTGTGGCCTCGGCCTCCCTACCTGTGAAGTGGGAGCGAGGCTCCCTCGGGTGCTTTTGGCTTCAGTGTACAATGTTTGCCGTTTCCTGCCGGGGTGGGGAGGGCCAGCCCCAGCTCTGGCGTGGCCGGCCTCTCACTGAGGGGCTGGTGCCGGCTGAGGCCTGTGAGGCCCCCGGCCGGGGTCCCGGAGAGGGAGCCGGGCAGCGGGCCGGGCAGTTTACAGACCAGGGGGCGCACGGGGCAGCAGCCCACCTGGGCCCGCCGCGGAGAGGCCGCCGGCGTCCCTCTGGGACCTCCTTCCTCTGTGCTGGTGTCTGGGACCAAACGGGCGGGCAGGCCAGGCCGCACCGGCCCCGCCCGGGGTCGGCCTCCGCCCTGGGAAGGGAGGGGCGTGAGTGGACTCACACTGGGCTCCTGGGATGGCTGGACCTCGCCCTTGCTGCGCTGCGGGGCGCTGTGGGGTGCTCTGGGCCCCCAGGGGCCGGGCCACAGCCTGCTGCCCCTTGTGCCCTGGGCTCCGCCCTGCGCCAGTGGCCGTGGCCTGAGCATCCAGGCCTCCCACCAGGAGGGCCCAGCCGTCCTGCGGTGCCCACCTCGTGCTCCGCACGGCCCTGGCAAGGCCGCCCCAGGCGCAGTGGGTCGCGGGGGCAGCAGCCCCGCCCACGACCTGTGACAACGTGCAGCCCCCCCCACCCCGCCACCCCGTGTGGGCAGGGTGTGCCCGCCCGCCCTTGACGCCCTCCCGTCCCTCCACTCATGGACGCTGGACACAGGAGAAGGGAGGAATCCAAGGGGTCAAAGATGAGCTTCAGCCGTGCGGGGGGGGGTCCCACGTTGGTTTTACTTTTGTTCTGTGTTGGGGCCTCTTCCTGGCCGTCCCCCACCCTGCGAACCTCCCCACATCCCCACGCCCCCACACCAGCCCCCCGCCCCACGAACCTCTCCACACAGCCCCACCGCCGCCCCCGTGCGCCCTCGGCCCCTCTGGCCCTGCAGCGTCCTGGGGGGTGGGTGCTCGACCGTGTGGGGGGCAAGGAGCCCACAAAGCCCCCCGGGGCTCGGCCCCTACAAGGCTGGGTGAGCCGGAGGCGGGGTCCCCTGGGACACCTGGCCTGCGGGCCCTGGCTGCTGCCCCAGGCCGGGGCAGTGAGTGGGAGGCCTGGTCGGAGGGCCCTGACCCTTCTCCCATCCACACCCACCCCATCTCACTATGCAATTCCAGTCCAAGCCCCCGCCCCTGCCCACCCCGGACCCCGCCCAGCCCGGAGGGAGAGCAGGGGGCAGCCCCCGGGGGCCCAGCGGGGGGAGGTCTCGGTTCAGCCACATGTCACACGTTTGCCACACACGGTCTCTCGAGATAACTTCACGGAGACTCCACCCCTCCCGGCCCCCTCCCGCCAGATTGAATATCCGAGCTGACTGGGGACAGAGGCCTGAGCCACAGGTCACTGACCTCCGACCTCTGACCTCCCCAGGGCCATGGCTGGATGTGCTGTCGCTGTGTTTGTTTTTTCTTTTTTCTCCCCACCCCAAACTGGGCCTGGGGCTTAATTTTTATATCTTTGGGGCTTTATTTTTCTTGGCAGATACTAAAACCTCGTCAATATAATTTCCGTGGTTTCTATTCAGCTTGGGTTTCATGTTTTAAAATAAACAAATTTTAAAAAACAGGTCTCCCTTCCTGAGTCGTCCTGGCTCCCACCCAGGTCTGTGGGCAGGGTGGCCACGTGCAGAGACCCTGGGGCTGGGGAGGCGCCTTGGGGTGGGCACCAGACCTGAGGTTCGGGGGCGGGGCCTCTGGTCCGCCCGGCAGCTGCTCTGGAGGGCGTGTGGGCCGGGAACTGCGCATCCAGGGCCGTACCGGAGCTTGCTTTGCGATCTGGAGGTGCGGTGGAGGGGCCCGAGGGGACATGGGTGGCTGGGCGGAGACACCGCCACCACCAGGAGAGGTGACAGGCAGGGGGCAGAGAGGCCGGTGGGTGCTGTGACCCAGGACTGTGGGAGAGCCACGGCGCAGGGACGTGGGGTTCCCCCAGGGCCCTCGGCCCTCGGTCTGGAGCCCAGAGTAAGGCTGGGGGGCGGCGGCTTCCTGCCCAGGGTGGCTGCTGAGCCGGGGGAGGGCTGGGCAGAGCGGGTCAGGCCAGAGGCCGGCCCAGGGGAGATGTGGGTGTGACCCCAGGCCAGGGGAGGGGAGGGGCAAGCAGGTGAGGTCTAGGGCAGGGCCGACCTGGGGCTTCAGCTAGGGGAGAGCTCGAACGGGGGGTCGGAGGTCCGGTGGACAGAGAGGAGCGAGGCAGAGGACCCTGCTGCTGGGGGGGGGCGCGCAGTCCGGGGAGCGGCCCCAGAGGTCAGGGGTGGGGCCACCACACGGTTCCCGAGGGGCTGGGGGCGGAGTGTGGAGCTGCCCGTCCAGCAAGCTGCTGGTCCGGCTCAGCCGCCAGTGCTGCACCTGAGCAGAGAGGGAGGGGCCCACTGACCGAGGTCGGGGCCCCGGGGGGTTCCACTGGGCTGGGCCATGAGGAGAGGCGGCAGCCAGCCCAGCCCCAGAGCCGTGGCACAGACAGTGGCAGGAATGGCCTCCGGACATTACACTTACTGCTCAAACCCAATATTGGTACTGACGTCAGGATTCGCGCTGTGGCTCAGCGGACTGAGCACCGGCCTGTAGAACTAAAGAGTCACAGGTTCGATCCCCAGTCAGGGCACATGCCTGGGTTGCAGGCCAGGTCCCCAGTAGGGGGCGTGTGAGAGGCAACCACACACTGATGTTTCCCTCCCTTTTCTAAAAATAGATAAAATCTTTTAAAACATTTCTTTAAAATAAAAAAGCAAATAATAAAGATCCTAGGAACCCAGGTTGAGGCTACAGGAGAGGAAGACGTAGGTCCCAGCCTAAGGGTGGGAATGGACCTGAACTTCATAGGAGAAATGGGGAGTAGAGAGGAGAGAGCCCCAGCCTCCAGAAGCAGCACAGCAGCTGGCTGGCCACGCGCGGCCGAGTGGAGCAAGACTGACCTTTGCGGCCCTTCCACGCCCAGACAGTTGTGCGCGAGAAATAAAGGCACATGTCCACAATTTTAACCAGAAAGAGAGAGACAGAGAGAGAGAAAGAAAAGAGAGGGAGGGAGGCTCTCTCTTAGGAGCTAAAAACCACTGTCCGAGAACAGCAGGCTGGATGACTTGTCGCTGTGACGTCACCCAGTGAGGTGCCCGCTGCAATGATGGCGCGCAGTGTGCCCACAGGGGCACTGGGAAGCGGGGTGCCGCTGTAACGAACCCCAAAGGGCGGGGCTGGCAGTGGGACCGGGGACTGGAGGCATTCTGACAGGTGTGGCAGAGGAAGCCCAGGTGCCTCGAATAGCTTGTTCGTGGACACGTGGGTGCCGGCCGCCCGCCGGCGAGGTCCTCTTAGCGGTCACACCTGCCATCAGCGCGTCGCGAGCAGACCGTGGGCAGATCCGCAGGCCGGGAAGGGGCCGCCTCCGGTGGGGCTGCGGAGGGGAGGGGGAGCGAGCGGCTGGGGCCTGGAGGAACGGTGGAAGAAAGCCCAGCCAAGTGGGGTCCGCCGGTCACCCGGAAAAGAACCAGCGCCGCCTGCAGGAGGTGACAAAATCGGAAGGCTCGCATGGGTGGGCACGGTGCTTTGGGGAGAAAGCCTGGGGCGGCTGGACAGCCATTTCCCGCTGCCTGGAAGGAAGGAAACAGAGGTCCCAGTGTCCAGCCCCAGCAAGGGAACAGGTGTGCGCCAGGTCAGCAGAAGGAAACCCAGAGAGGGAATTGCTCAGGACGGCCTGGAGGACGGACCTGTGGGCGCGCTACGTCAGCAGAGTCCTGGCGAGCTCGGACAGAGAGGGACAAAACGAGGGAGGCCCCCCAGGCCTCAGCATCTGCGGGCGGGAAGCAGGCTCACAGGAGCCACCGTGGGGGCCAGGGAAGGAGCTCAGGGTGCAGCCACAGCCCCGGGGCGGTGGGGGGTGGGGAGCAGAGCCTTGAGCCGCAGAGGATACTTCCGAGGTCTCGACTCCTAACTGCCTCTGTCCCTTGGATCCCAAAGTTGCTTGGACTGCGGAACTCGATCCCTTTACCCTTCCCTGCTCTCCCTTTGGAAGGGGACTGTCCACGCCGGTCACACACGCCACTGTGCCTGGGAAGGAAGGCGTCTGTCTTCTAAGTGCCCGGAAGGAAAGGCACCTCCCTCGTGCAAGGGGTCTCGCCCAAACCTGGCGGACGTGGTTTGATGGTGGGGGGCGGGTCTGGGACTTGGCTCCGCTGAAATTCAGATGAGATCTCGGACTCTGAAATGCTGCTGTAGAAATGAAATATTTGGGGACAATTTTTAAAAGATATGAGCCAAACCTCTGGAAAGAAAATCACACAACATTGCTGAGAGTAGTTACAGAAGACCTGGCTACTCATATGGACGTACTGTTAGGGTGTGAATTCTTCCTGAATTTGCTGCCTCGATGCACTCCTAATCACAGTGCCAGCAGGCTTTCATCCTAGAAACGGGTATCCTCGCTATAACAGTCACGCGGGGCCACGAAGCACTTACCACCAACACGATCGTCGAAAAGAACAATGAGGACCCTCACTACCTGACCTCAAGATCTCTGTAGAGCCATGGTGTCCAAGACAATGTGCTTTTTTTTTCAAAAGTTTATTTATTTATTTTTAGAGAGGGAAGGGAGGGAGAAAAAGAGAGAGAAAGAAACATCAATATGCAGTTGCTGGGGGCTGTGGCCTGCAACCCAGGCATGTGCCCTGACTGGGAATCGAACCTGCGATGCTTTGGTTCACAGCCCGCGCTCAATCCACTGAGCTACGCCAGCCAGGAAGACAATATGGTTTTCCTTCAGAAACACAAGCAGACGGATGGGGCAGAACAGAGAGCCCACTCGCAGACACAGGGCCGGCCGGTTTTCAATAAAGCCGCCACGGTCACCCGATGGGGGAAAGGATAGTCTTTCCATGAATTTTATTGAGCAAGGGGAGGTCCATTTGGAAAAATAAGTGACTCTCATCGCTCACCTTATACGATACACAAAAACTAACCCCAAACAGGTCAGGGATCTGAACGTGAAACTTAAATCCAGCTTCCAGGGTAAAACACACACACACACCGCCACACACGAGAAAGACATTTGCAGCCTTGAGACAGACACCGATTTCTCCGAGGAGCACCAACACCAGAAGCCAAAGAGAAAGAAGAAACGGACACAGTGGGTTTCCTAGAGACTTCCAAACCTCTGGGTTTTGCAAGACCCGGTGAGAAAATGACAGTGTAAGCCACAGACGAGGAGGACCTCTGTGTCGCACTCATGCCGGCGGAAGGCTCGCAGCCGGAAGACGGCCCGACAGAAAAGGGGCAGAAGACGTGCACAGGTGCGCGGAGCCGTCACAAAGGAAGACAGGAGACCTGCAGATCACCCGTAAGCACACGGAAAAAGTTTAACACCGTGATGGAAGAAATGCAAACTAAAACCTCAATGGCCACACTCGGACCGGAATCATTGAAGTTGAAGACTGACTGAACTGCCCTTGGCCGGCAGCTCAGTTGGTTAGAGCATCATCCTCACACACCAAGGCTGCAGGTTCGATCCCCGGTCAGGGCACACACAAGAAGCAACCAGCCCTGGCCAGTGTTGCTCAGTGGGTTGAGCACCGACCTGTGGACTGAGAAATTGTGGGATCGATTCCCAGTCAGGGCACATGCCTGCATTGCGGGGCCAGGTCCCCAGCAGGGGGCGCATGGGAGGCAACCAAACATTGATGCTTCTCTCCCTCTCCCCTCTCTCTAAAGAAAATTTTAAAAAAAGCAACCAGCAAACCCATGAATCAGTGGAACCACAGACTGATGTTCTCTCTTTCTCACACACACACACACACACACACACACACACCTTTCTTCTCTCTCTAAAATCAATAAAATGAAAATGAAAAAATGCCAAGAAGGTTGAGTGAGGCGGTGTGAGGCGGTGCTGGCCGGGAGTAGGTGCTCCGCAGGTCTCAGCGCCGAGCAGCACCTGGTGGGCCCCGCCAGGGTCGGGGCGGGGGTGGGGGGCCTGTCTGGCGTCCCTCCACACGAGGACACTCCTGTACAGATCCCGCCCCGACTCTTCCCTCCTGGGGACGGCGGAGTCGGGAGAGACTCCCCTCTTCAATCCCCGGTGCCCCCTCTTCACCGGGGACAGCAGGGGGGCACGGCCCGCGCCCCGCCCCACTGGAACACCCCCCCCACCGAGCTGTCATAGGGGGACTCCGGCAGTCCCGGCCCCAGGGCCGGGCTGAGGCTCCATGAGTGACCAGGTGAGAAGTCTGAGTGCTCGGCAGCTGGGCCCCAGGGGCCACGGGGTGCAGCCAGGGCCCAGGCAGAAACGGCCCCCCATGGGCCCCACCACCCTCTTTCCACCTCGGTGGTGCTGACCTGGGCTCCGGCTGGGACACAGGCTCAGAGGGGACCCTGAAGGGGCCGCAGCCCCTGGAGCCGAGGGGGGCTGTCTGAGCCGAGACCCTGCCCCGAGTTAGGAGGCCATCTCAGGAGGAAGTCCGAGCAGACTTCACTGAGGGCGCGGGTGTCCTTGGTCAGGTGCGAGGCGGGGGTTCAGGGGCTCGGGGGCCACCGTGGACCCTTTGGGTCCGTCTGTCCCTGCTCTGTGACCCTAGAGACAGC